TCATTCTCCCTTCCGCTTTTGTCGGTCAAATCAGTGTTGTAATACATGTTTTAAATGAAATAGTAAGGAACAGAAGAGGCCTTAAATGATCATCTTTTCATTCCTATTGTCTTTCTCTGATTACTCCTATCTTTGTGCAGCTAAGAAATATCAACATGTGGCAATGCAGTAGCAACGCTCCGCTTTGGCTTTCTATCAAATCTGAGTTACGTCCTACACAAGATACAGCTCGCTACATAACTATGTACATGGTAAAGGTGTTCGCGTGTCGCATGTGAAAACGGACTGTTACAGTCTAGGGTCTATCCTTCAAACTTATCGAGTCCCTCTCCTTGCGAGGATTCTTGTTTACTTATCTCTATGTCACTGCCCTTGCTGATCTCGCTGGTTGTGTACACTATGTAATTCTGCTGATCCCCTTTGCTGCTTTTCAAAAATCCAATCAACCTTTTCCAATTCGATAGAATTTGTCGCATACATATGGATCATCCATCCATCTCTGACGAGCTAAGACATTTCACAACCCATCTCAAAAAAGGGTGCCCAATCTGACCATATCTACGCTCCATACTTGATCAATTTGTATATCCCACTAATCGCCAACCTTAAAACTACGTAGACCCCTGTTCTCGGAAGTTAAATGTTGCTTTCTAAAATCGCTTGGGTCTAAACTCCACTTCAAATACTGGGATATTCCCGCGTTTTGGGGGTCGGCAAAGTCCGTGATTGGGATTTGATTTTTACCAGAGCAGGTGTATCTTGATTCTTGAATTGAACTTTCAAAGAAGCCGATTGATCGATTGTGATAGCAGGTTTTGTTTGTTCTGCGCACTTTTGTGGATGTCTTAGTTTGATCAAATCGATCTAAAGTTTGAACGATCGATGTGGTTCGGTTGTTTTAATTCCATAGGATCGTTTGATCAAAATGATATAATCTACGGAAGCCGTGACGTGAAGTGACCGCCACCCGTTTTTTCAAAACTTCGGTTTTCGGTTTTCGGTTTTCGGTTTTTGGAATTTGGGCATGTCCTTCAATTTTTGATCCACACCACGGGCTACCATCACCGAGAACACCAACTGACACCATCACCACCACCAAGGGTTTATTCCACACTCGTATTTTCACTCAGCACCCACCACCGAGCATTTTTTCCACATCTGTCTTTTCACCACCAGCTAGCTATGTACGAACATCACCACCCACCACCGAGCTATCTTTGCACACTTGTCTTTTCACCAATCTAGCTATCACCACCACCACCCAGCTTGAGTATCTTTTATCAAAGTCCAGACTTGTTTCAATTATCACTCACTCAATCAACTTGGTATCATTTACAGTCAATAAACTTGTAATCAACTTGGTATCATTCACAGTCAATAAACTTGTAATCAACTTGGTATCATTTACAGTCACAAATCACCTTACCCCTCAATCAATCAACAACCTTTCTGATCAAAGAAACTGTTGGTTTTCCAAATAGGTTGAATTTTGAGGAGGTGATTGTCAAGATCAACCTCAATTGTTTGAGAACTCAGAATAATCAAAAATACTTGGCATACATTTTTTAAAACAGCCTCATGATTGAAATGTCGTAAGTTGTGTAAAACAATCAATAAGTAAGTGATACAAACTCTGTGAAATGATCAGGTTCCAGATTGTAATCACCATGATTTGTGATTATACTCTTTGCAATTCGAAGATACTTATGTAAATTTTTTGTTCAGATGAGGGCCAGCCAATTCAGCATTTTGATGTGTAGTTAGTGTAAGAATTAATGGATCGATAAGAAGTTAAAGAAGAAACTTCAAAGGTGAACACAATGAGTGTTGAGATAAGAGCTTTCAGAGTTAGTTGTGATGTGTAGTAGGATCGAGTGGATCAATTTTTTGTTGAGATAAGAGCAAGCCGATGGAGCTTTTTGATGCAATGGGTAGTTTAAACATTAGTGGTTCGATATGAAGTTGACGAAGAAATTTAAAAGGTTAACACAACAGGTGTTGAGATAAGAGCTCGCCAATTCGACTGTGATGTGTAGTAGGATCTATTAGTTTAATTTGAACTACAATACTTTGGTATTGATTGATACGATTGAAGTTGATAAGATTTGAGATGTGGTTTGATTGAGTCAAAGTCTGGATATTTGAAGGCACAAGAGTTGAATCGGTCGAGCAGTTTGACCGACTCACTGTAAATTGAGAGGGAGGCATGGTTGCTTTTCAAAAAAATTGAAGGAAATGCCCAAATTCCAAAAACCGAAAACCGAAAACCGAAAACCGAAGTTTTGAAAAAACGGTGGCGGTCACTTCACGTCACGGCTTCCGTATAATCTTACTTGGTCATCCTTCATCAACATATCTCCTTGTATCATTAATAACAATTTCAATTCATTTGATACGCACAAACTTCGCACGTATTGTTTATCATCAATTTGATACTTGGGAACATCTAAACTCATTTTCAGTCACATTACAAATTGGATTCAAGTGGATCTATGATGGATATCATCTTTCTTCAAATCGATCGCATTCTTTACCTTCAACCAAATTGATATGTCTATACTGGTAGACTTCAACTTTTAGGTTATTCATATCATATGCTCAGGAACCTAAAAGCGAATGAAAGGCAACATGGCAATAGGCTGTAGAAAAGCTCTGTTTCCTTGTGCAAGATATCTCTTTAGGTCTAAAGCTCAGACTGAAGCTGAGTTGAGTTCCATGAATCCAGAGGGCTGTTTAAATTTTCCGTCTTGACCATGTTGATTTGCGTAAAGAAGCTACATATACAAATCATTTGTTCATAATAAGCTAGCTAGAGAATTTGACGCAAGTGAATGTTGTAGATCAGCTTCTACTCTAGATACACCTAATGCGCTGATAGGTCTCCTCAAATCCCAAGTGAGCTTATGTTCTAAATACTTGATAGCTTCGATGTCCATTATACACTTTTCCCTGAGTAGTAGATGATAGATTCCAACTCTTCCAGGTCTCCAATCAGTTGTATGAGGTTTTCCAGGTTGAAAGTCTTGTGGATGAGCCAGATCGACATTATTAAGACATGGAAGAATCAAAGCTTTTTGTTGTTGTGTCCACCAAGATCCAGTTTGACCTAATCGAATTCCAGGTGTAATCAAATGATCACGACCCAAAGCTTGTCGTAATAAACCTCCATCCTTCCAACCACTTTCGGGTGTACCCCAATCTCCTCCAGCGATCAACATTGCATCAGACCAACCTTTCTGTGTAATAAGTTCAGCTAATTGTTCGCTTCCATATTCTGTATCGTTCATTGAAAACCGATCTACAAGAATTAAGTTTCCATCCCTCCAACGTTGACTTAAGACAGTTCTTAGACCCAATTCCCACACTTTACGTTGAATCCCTTGGGACCAATCTTTAGGTTTGGGTCCAAAGGCCACACCACCCTTTCTCAAGGTAGGAGAAGAAGCGTCACCGATCCGAGCACGACCAGTTCCTTTCTGAGGACGAAGTTTTCGACCTGACATAGCTACTTCAGACCTTGTTTTCTACACATTTTTGAAAGATAAAAAAATCAGCATTAATCAAATAACTTCAAGATTTGATTGTGAATAAGAACATGTGAAGATAACTGACTGTGTTAGCACTTCCTGAACGCATAAGGCTACGTTCGAACATCACACATCGATGAATGATATCTGGTCGATTAGGTTGTCCAAAGACATACTTCGACAAAGGGAAGACTGAGGGTTCATCAAAGGTGGCATCTGGATTTGAAAGGTCGAATCGATCGATCATGAGGTGTTGAACTGAGGATCCATGTGTGATGCCTGTACAAATCCGATATCTCAATATCAGTCAGATAAATTTATCTGGAGTCATTGATTACACGACTCACCTTCAGTCAATCGAGGAGATTGGGAAGAGTTTGATAAAGCTGATGAAGATGATTCAAATGATCGTAGGCTTGTAGTGAATGCTCGAGTGAGACCAAAGGCACGAGGAAGGAAAGCCGAGGTAGTAGGCATGGCTGAGTGATCTGATTTCTTTGAGGTGAAGAGTTCTTTACAAATTTCTCTGGATCGGTGGCAGGTGACCCGTGACATATGATGGACTATGGAGTAAGTATATGTATTAGCATAATGCCCATATGTCACAAGATGCTAGTATGTAGGTACAGTCAAATGTCTTTCTGAAACTGTAGTTTTCAGAACAGCGAACACGAAAAGCGTCAATTGATCAAAGATCGAAATTAGAGACGCATACAAAAGGAACGCGTCTCTCATAAACAAATCAGTCATCAAGTCTACATTGTTTCCAAGTAAAATTTGATCTCGTATTGCCCGAATATTTCCCACTCAAGAAAATAGTTTCTTATAACTGGAGTCAAACTGTTCTGATTGGTCTTCAAATGATTTGATCCGACTGATTTTACTTCCACTTGAGTCCAGAATCCAGATCAACTTCAATTATTTGATACTGAGTATAGTATACTCTCAACATCTGTCATCTACACTCTTTGGATGTTTATCATCTTCTCAATGTGACCAGCTGGATTCGTTGGGTTGGAGGAACGTTGACGCCGAATCACATCCTTTGACTATCCTGAGTGTCACTTTGCCGTTCAAGGAGATCTCAAGCCTACATCACGATATCACCTACATACCAAGGTAACTCACTCACAAAACTGTAAATTTGTACATATCACCACATGAAAACAAAGACGATCGACAGGAGAATGAGGAATAAATGAGTGCGTACGCAACTGTGCCTGAAGGCTTTTCATGCAGGCGAATTGATTCGTAAATTTGAATAAAGTTTGAAGAGCAGTCACCATGCAGGAATGGCGGAACAGTTACCGGGTTTCAACATCGGGAAGTTCAGGGATAAACTTGTTTTGTAAAGCTCAAGCGTAAGTGTATAAGAATCATGAATGGTCTTGCTTATGGGTTTTTGGTTATAATTCCATGACCAAACGTAGTCTCAGTCCGGCAGTGAGTCTTAAGAGGACTCAGAGTCAAAGGAGTCGCACACCATGAACGCGCGCGCGAGGGGTTCCCTACATGGGTTTAGGTTATGGAGTTCAAAAGTCCTCCAGAAGCTCGAGAAACTTCTGAAGCATGTCCGAGCACCTGTCGGAGAAACTTCTGGATGGCACTTCTTGAGAGGCTCCAAAAATTGCACAAAATCATCTTGGAGTCAACAAGAAGTTAGTTATTGAAGATCATTCACAAATTAATTATGTACATGCCTAAACCCTTTCTCTTCTGTGAATATGGAAATGAGGAAAAAGAACTCATTTGTACGGGTGGAAAAGGGGGGAATTGAAGAATTGTTATTCATTGTTGAAGGGCTAAGAGGTTTTCTATTTCCAAAACTTCCCCTCCGAATCTTACACCCGCGGCGGAGGTTTCTTTGATTTCAATCTTTAAGTTATCAGTCTAGAAAATCTCAACGTTCGCTGAAGAATAGATTTTCAATTTCTACAAATGCAGGTCACCATTCGATTTCGATGGGCAAATGATGTTACGTACCACGCTATTGCCCCGAGGATTTCTGATGATCGACTCAGACGAGATGAATGATCGCCGAAAATTCAAAAAACCACTTGGCAATTGAATTGACAATTTACCACATGTTCTTAAATTAAAGTTTCCTCAGAACCATGTGATGATCCAAAATCGGGAATTCTCACACACCAAATGAGCGAAAAAAAGACCACAAGGATGATAAATCTTCAAAAACTCGTATGTAGGTGTAACTTTTTTTTTGAAAAAATCTACAACTTGCCAGTTCCCATATTTGCGGTACTCAAAGCTACATATGTACGCGTACATAGTTGCTTTGAGTACCGTAATTGAAGTTGACTTGATCATCTGGTAAAAATCACGAGATGACAGAAAGATAGAAACATTGATGATTAACCGCATGGGGGGTGCAAATTTAACCGATCTTGATGACAGAGCTGTTACATATGTATGTATATATATGCATATTTTTCTTCTCGGTAGAATCTCCGTACTCTCTTTCGGCATCTTGAGGATTTTTCTCAAACACAGGACCGATCGTCAAGGACACTATTTACATAGTTATCATTTCAGAAAAGCTTTTCACAGATTCCCCGCCAATTTGCTGAAGTCTTGCGGGTAAATTGGGTCCGATTCCCAGAGTTTTTCTTTGCATGATGTTGTAGTGAAGTCTTCAGCCCGAAAACGCGTCGGTGCCCAAAATCTTGAAGATGGTCACAAAGCTTTCGAAAAGTCATCATGCTTAAGTTACTCTGTAGATTTCAAATTTCAATTGTTGCTCACATGCAAACGAGTCAAAGGTCTTCGGGTCTGTTGATTCCTCCGCATCCCCCTACATACGCAGTCCTTGTTCATGTCAGATGGATACGGCTGAAGGGGTTAACGCAATTGAATATATGTATAAGCTAGGATCTCGATGGCTACAACGTTACAACCGGCTACCTAACCGTTTTGAATAGCACATACAAATCCACCCTTTATGCTGTGATTCAACTGACCTTTAAGAGGTAGCGGATTTCAGCGATGATCTGCAAGTTAGGCGTTACAGTTTGGGGGTGTTTATGTATCATTCCCGGCACTACCGGCTCGTTACAACGTACAAGGATAGGCGGTGTATCTCAGTTTTGAGTTGAGTGAGTTCAGGGAGAATTAAGGAGGATTGCATGGGAGAGTTTAAGAGTGTATTGTTTTTCGAGGTTTCGGGCCTTCAAGTTCGGGATTGGCAGAAGAGAGAATTCCTCAGTCGACTTCTTCCGCTTAAACTCTTCCACCCATCCGCCCGCAATTTTAGTTTTCAAGTGAATGGTAAAATAAGTTGCATTGTACAACCAGGTAGATTCGGATACAATGTCTGCATCAAATCTGAGGTGGCTTCTGCACGCCTTGATGGGTGAAGTTGACGCTGCACCTCATTTGACACTTTTCAAAGCTCTTCCCCTCCGTACATATCGGATGAGAATGCATTCAAGCTTCCCGACTTGAAGACTACTTTAGGTACCACATTTATCTGATTGAACCCCTGACTGATGCTAAATACAATTCGCATACATATACCTGTGGTGCTGTCAATTTTGAAAAACCTGTCCAATTCTGAACCGGGTTTCCGGCAAAACTCGAGCAAGTTGAGCCTTGGCGCCGGAACTTTGGCAAGCTTTGTGCACGTAACAGACCAAGAACCGGCAAATGATACCGGACTTTTGAAGAGGCAGTCAAGAAGAGAGGGATGGGAACCAAACTCAAAAGATAAAAGTACACGAGGAGGAATGAAGCTATGTAGTCTATAGCAGATGAAAATCAAGATTCTCCACATCACAGTGTTTTCAAATCTTGTTCACTCGCTCTTCTGCCTGTCTCTCTGATAGTCCATGATGCAATCTTAGGTGAGTTTTGGTCGGTTTGATGTTGAGCTGATGTCAGTTTATACATTGACATCTCTCTCTCTCTGTGTGTGGAGGTGGGTGGATGGTTGAGTGTGAATCCGTTCTTGCCAGTTGATTTGATGATGATCATCTGCTTTTACTGCGAAACTGACGACAGCTTATTCCAGGCTTCCCGTAAATCAAGTTAGATGATAAGGTAAGCTGAATATGAATTTGAGTTGAAAGGCGGTGGTGAGTTTTGATTTGAAGCTCATTATAAATTGCGATTGTCAGATTTTCAACTTCCCTTGCATTAAATCTTCTTGCATTTCTTAAATTTCTCAAAACTTCCAATCCATCAACTTCAACTTCCTATCATATCCCATTCAACTAACTACCTACCTACCTGCCTGAGCCTCCTCAACCCACCAAAAAAAAGGGAAGAACGGCATATTTGATCTGCTTCCCTCACACATATTTATATACATACTCTTCCTTGAGATTTACCAATCCTCATCATTCACTCTTAATCTCCACTACATCATACCTTACTTTACTCTCTCTCTATTTCCACTCCTTTTCAGCTCTCAACCTCCGATTTTGTATTACGCCTCCATACCACACTAATTCCACTCAGTTTAAAGAGAAATGAATAATCAACTCACCAAGAGCACTCTACTTAATCAGCTTAATCTAAGTTCCACTTCCATCACATTGTCAGTCGATTAAAACCTTAGATTAAAAACCACATAACTTTTTGATATAACAATTGACTCGCCTTTTTCTTATCTGATCCTTCCTTACTCTTCTTGTTTGTAGAGATTCAATTCCGATTTCGATTCCTAGTACATTCGAAAATCTTGATACATGTGATGGTCCAGTCTTTGCCAATGCTAATGATGAGCGAGGATGGGTAAAGGTAAATTTATATCAACTTCAGACTAATTTGAATGGGTTCAAAAGTTGATGGCGCTTCAAATGATTTAAAATTGTCATCTAGGTAAACAGCGTTAGTGCATGTAAAGTGTGTCGAGCTCGACATGTTAGGTGTAGGTAAGTACAATCACCCTTTCACACTTTGAAAAATTATCATGTGATTTCCCTGACGCGCATATATGCTACTTTCTATTGCTACGTTCTAGTCTATATCGCACTGGAGGACCATGCGAATCGTGTAAGTCTAAATTCCTCAAACTTGATATAGAATCTCAAAGGTACACGAGACCAAATAATAACGTTTCTCTCTTTTATAGGTCGCGAACACAATCAAAAATGTGAAGTTTTGGGATGGGAGTTAGATCCAAAGGCTTTACCAAAAACAATGTATAAAGCCGTATTACCACCACCACCACCTGGTAGAGTGTCACCTATATGCGGTGTTAGTAACCCGAGGCTTTTCTCACCAGAAGAGCTCATCAACAAATTACAGTGGCTTATTACTGCCCCGTAAGTTGAAGAATCTTGAAATTATTTTATTTTACAGATATATTGAGAAATCTCTGTGTTTTCCTTTGATACATTCAATAGGACGAAAATTACTAAAAGAAAACCCCCAATGGCATGGCCTGAAGCGCAGTTCTCTGAAGAAGATCCCTTCAGCAATCCCATCCAGGCTAACAGTGGCTCTATCAGGCATGTCAAGTAAGTTGATTTGTGCCTCTTTCCCCAATTGTTTTTTGCTCAAAGTCTAATCCTTGACCTTCTTTGACAAACTCACAGAGCTACTAGAAGACCCGATTCACCTTGTACGAAGCGCATGAAGCGTTCGCCATCTTTTTCGTACCAAGAAGATGAACGAGTTCAAACTCCTCTCAACTCGATCTCAACTTCTCCTTTCAACGCTTTAGATGAAGGCTCCAGTAGCCCTCAATCAGATTCATGGTCACCTAATCCAAATCATCAACAGAAGATGTCACTCTCTTTTATTCTTTGCTCCAGTCCTACATCGTTTTCATCTGAAAAATCGTCCAGTAAGTGAAACCTTTTCAGATACAAAAGGGTATCGATGTTAAAGATGTGTGCTTTCGTTGGTGAATAGATTTTTCAACTGAGAATGATCATCACGATGAGAATCAAGGTTAGTGTAATTCTTTGAAACCAATTCCAAACCAACGCTCGTTGAAATCTAAAAGTGTTTTCCCCATAGATCATAGCTTTACATCAAGCTCTAGATCAAGTTCAAGTTCATCGACATATTCGACCACATCCTCCCCAACATTATCTCCAAGGGTAGATAGAGTAACATGGCCTTCGTTCCATAATTTACCATCTTTACCTAAGATTGACTTAGAAAGACAAACTGGATATATTAAGACTTCAAATGAAAGATCTGAAAGAATGATAGAATTTCCGGAATTCTTACCTAAGATATCGGAAAAGATTGATTTAAATCATTGGAAATGTACTTTTTGACGAATAAAATTAAATTAAATTGTTAGTACTACAGATTTATATTTTTATCACGTTTTATATCAAAACCTTTAGCTCAAGAATAACAGATTAATGAGATGTTTTTTTCCTTTATTGAATTTTAGGTAATCTTCATACCTCAAATTTTGATCATATTCATTCATCTTGTTACCATCCGTTTTTTGTTCTTCATCTTTTACTCGTTCAATAGAATTTCATGAATCATAAACAAAATTATCAAAACAAACTTACCTTTGTTTTAAGAAGTTGTTTATCAGAAAAAAAATCATCATCTGCAAAGAAATTATTTATAAAACAAATCGTTTTTTGTTACCTTTTAAAAAGTTTATAACTAATTACATTTTTGAATGATTTCTTTATTTTATTTTTTTATATACCTTTTTATTTATTTTGTGATTCTGGATATTATATTTTCATTTCAAAGTATTTACAAAAAAAGTAAAAAAAAAAATCAATTTTTTTTGAGCAAGATTCAACATTTGTATAAAGAAACTTATTGTGATATAGGATGTTTCTTTCTTTTGGATATTGGTTTTCAAATCTTTTGTCTTTCTTGTTCTGATCCAATTTAACAAAAAAAGACATGTTCTCGTGTTTTTGAGGAACACCAGGTGTTGATATGTACTGGGTTAACAATGTGCGCTATATATAACCTATGGGGTTGATGATAGTCGGTACCGCTGCTTTCAATGACACGGTGGAGATATTGTCTCAGGGCAATCCTGAGACATTATCCTTCTACTGAGGCTACAATTTCTCTGAAACATACGTGGAGAAATTTGCAAAGTGGAAAAGTTTCATTTCCTCATTTCCCCTTTCCTTTCGCCACACACCCCCGTAACCTATCAGCCCTCTTCACATCACTCTCCTGGCAGCTGCCAAATCTCCCAAGAAGTGTGATTATCAATGAAAACCTGGTCAAAGTACATGGCAAGGACACATGGCCTTGATCATGATATGTAGCAGTAATTTTCATCAAAGAAATAGTGGCTTTGATTGGGCTACTGGGGGGAATGGGATCTAAAGCTATCAGATCTAGTCATCCTCCCAATCTTGTCTAGATGGAGTAGAAACTACTCAGGCAACATACTACCACTATGAAGTCCCAGTCTCCGCTTAGGAGACCAGTAAGCCATATGTGTGGTGTAGGGATGAGAGCAAGAGAGGAAAAAATTACTTGTTGCTCTCAGTCCTTCTAAATTAACTCAAGGAAGGTGTCAACTGTGGCAATGTGCCTCCTCCTTTGTGCAACACCTTACTATGCCTGACATTCCTCCTTCTCTCAGGAATGGTACTCAGGGTATTTCTACAGGCTCTGGGAACACTATTCATAGAGGCAGATTCTGCTGTGGAAATTAAAGTATGAAAGGAGTGGAGAAGATGGTTTTGGGTGGTCAAAGAAAGAGTAAGGCACTCAAATTTTTTTGAGGCAACCAAAAAAATCCAAGTGTGGTTGTTGCAGATGTTGAAATTGGCAGAATTTTGGCTGTGATTTTTTTTTTGGGATTCTCATACAAAGACTGCAGCTGTTCAACTGATGTCAGCTCAGAATGGGTGTGTGTCCCTTTTTCAAGAGGCACTTCAAGTTCAACACACCTTTTTTCCAGTCAGGACCATACCCAGGCATGACCAGGCACAATGGGTGTGTTTTTTTAGCAACAAAAAAGTTGTTTTATGTCTTTTCAAGATTTATCCACAACTTTTTGTAAAGGCTGTGTAATGTATAAGTATGATGGGCAACTAATTGGATGCAAAATTTGAAGATATGTAGGTCAAAATCAGTCTATCCAAAGTTTGTAATGTTGGGGTTCCAAGATCCAGGTGCACTAGCACCATTACACATTGCTTGTTGGAAAGGTGAAGGTTGGAACAACTTTAATTCAAAAATGGAATCAATAAACTCATTGGAGAAAAGAAGATTTCTCCAATGAGTTTATTGATTCCATGTTTTTGGAGAAATCTTCTTTTCTAAATGAGGATCCAAGGCTGAATGATCCTCTGAGCAACAAGCCAAACCTTTTTCAAATTCATCCAACTTGTCTGAACCCAAAAAACAACTTTGATTGTTTAATTTTCAGAATTTTCAATTTCAATAAGATTAACTTCTTAATTTGAAGTTGTTTGGCTGATTTGTGGTAACCTTACTTTGTTTTGTTCAGAAAGCTGCACCTGAATGATCATCTTAAGGTTTTCCAGTGTCATTGAGGCTTGGGCCTTTTTGGTCTTGGTGGCTGACATTGTGGTGTCCCTCAATACCAATAGCGTGTGCAATAACCTCAAGTAATTTTATTGCACATTGTTGGAATAGATGAGTTTGTAATGTAATAAGAACATTGCACCAATAATCTAGAGCCAAAGAAACTGGAGTGATGATGATGACAATTATATACACTTTGAGAAAAAAAAGTAAGGCCAAATAAGAGAGAGATATACATTTTTGAGGTCCCAAAACACCCATTGCCATTCAGATAAAGTTTTGCCTTGCTTGGCAATCAAAATCAAATTGCCTTATCAGTAACCCCAGAAGGAAGTGATCTTTACAATAATATTTTGAGCTGTATTGATTGGATAAGTTCCAGACACAGCAGCCTGATAACATCATGGGGTGAGACAAAAATTTACAATAAAGATTGGCTTGTTGTACTTTTGAGTTTGTGTATTTAAGACATTGAGACAGAAGGATTTGTATGCAGAATAAACAGGCCATGCAGATAAATCAATGTATGATATGACATTGTAAACTGTACATATCTTGTTACAAATATCCCCAACAGTTGTTGTAGCTAATTCCAAGCAACCAATTGAGTCAGAAACCAGCTTGTATAACATCACAAGGGCTTTATTTGCAGTCAAATTATCCCAATCTTGCACAAGCTGAGATATTAATGGGGTGTCAAGTAATGGGTTCTCTGCCATCTGTTACACATTTGAGGAACCCATTCTTGTGATCATCAACCAAAATGCAAACCTTTCTGAAAGTATACCAGTGGCTGTCACAAGAGCTCTGAATCTTATGTGTGGCTTCTTCCTAGTTTCTCCAGCCTTCAAGATGCTTGGTCCAGTGATGAGAAGCAGCGAAGTGTTTAACTATATCTTTTTTATTGTCCAACCACGTTCATATCCTTATGATCAATAAATTCCTTGGTCTTGCGCCCTCCTTAATAATATTAACCATCATCACAGGTCAGAGTTCTTCTCTGAGAACAGGAGAACTTTACTTTTATTTAATGTAGCACAAATCATCAGTGTTTTCCTCAAAATGACTATATATATATTCCAAAGGAATCATACATCTTCAAATAAGGTTGAAGAAATATAACAAGCACAGAATTCCAAAGACATGAAGGTGTGCTTCATTGGTAATTCTCTGTGTACAAGGATTGAGTCAGAAAGAAGAAGCCTAATGAGATGACAACACAGTCAAGACTTACTCAAAGCTTGATCATTGGTGATGCATTGTCAGTTGAAATGGCTGCAATCTGACCCATTTAATTTCCAGTACTTCAAGTGTTGCATTCAAACTCAAAAGGATGTTGTCAGAAGTGTGTTGGACTTGATGAAGGTTGAGGGTGTTGATAAAGTGTTTGACACAGGTTCCTTGAAGAGCCAAAACAGCATAGACACTATTATGGCAGATATCAGACCATCCAATGAGATGGTAAGACCAAAATGAGGTGCCCAGTATTTTTGCATATCATAAACACACTCAGCATGGAAATTAGGTATAAAGAACTTCATCATAACATACCAAGAGGTCGGTGTAAGCAGAGAAACAGATAATTGTTTCTGGAATTGAACAAAATGCTTATTTTCAAGTAGAGAGAAGGGAACATGTCCAATGATCAGAGCTAGGCAGAGAGAGATTGTTGTAAATCTCACCCAACTTGTCTGGTTTTCTCTTGCCAAAGTCATGGCACATTGATTGAGTGTAATTATGGACACATTTTGGTACCAATGGAGGAAGTTTGATGTGAGGGTGGATTCTATTTTGGATTTGTCAGCTTCTTGTGGGGATATGGCATTGATGTACTCAGATATCTTTTCCCAAGGTGTTTACTGACACTCATTGATCATGTGATTCTTGAGTATATCTGGTTTACTATCCAAGACATTGTTGCAATGGGTGCATTTTGCGTGGTGTCTGCCAGCTGAGTGGTCATGTTCTTTGGCCACGAGAAAGCCAATCCAGCATCCATTCAATTGCTTCTTCATTCTGCTTTCACCGGATTTTGGGATTGACACTTGAACTTGGGCATTGTCCATAAAATAATAGTGAGACTTCATGTGAGACTAACCACAGCCTGAGCCAAGTAATCAGTTGAACCCACGATAGAGGTTCCCGGGTGCGCCTTGTTGCTTATGACAAATAGAGTCGTGATCTCAGTGTTGTGATGTGTGATCTTTTTTCTTACAAAAACCTTTTTGGTTATTTGTTTTGTTTTCTCTTTTTAGTTATTTGATTTTGTTGTCCTGGATACGTTTCTATTTGTGCGCTCTCATAACTCTTAGCAGATTTTGTTCTCTTTATAAACACCTACGAGTCTCACAAGAGTTTGATCCTCATGCTTTCAAACTCTTCTTCGTATCACATCCAAGCACTCCTCATACTTACGACGTATTGCTCTACTGTGATTGACTCATAGGTTAGTGTGTAGTGTTTTTCTCTCATCTTCATTTCTCTCATACTGTACATGTTGTAGTTTCATTTTTATGTTTAGTATTTCGAAATAAATATGCTTTCAAACTCTTCTTCGTATCACATCCAAGCAATCCTCATACTTACGACGTATTGCTCTACTGTGATTGACTCATACGCCTACCTACGATCTAACATTTTGCGGCGCGCCTTTTGGCGCTTTTCTTCAGACGCGCCCCCATCCTGAATGTCAGCGCTCACCGAAGATGTGCCTTCCGCTTGAATGCTCATGTAAACTTCAAAGAGCACTGTCTCCGCATTTTGACAAATCTTCTATTCTTTTTAGTGCAGCATCAACGTTCACTAAGCTTGGCTTTGTAGCACTTTGCCCACAGTACCTCAGCAAGACGCTTCGAAGACATACTAATTTTGTTGGATTGGTTCCTGCTCTTACAATGAAGGATCATGAATTTCACACCACATTGCGTAAGGAACAAAAGGCTGGAAAAAGGATACAGCTGCGTGAAAAATTCTACATATATATAAATTTTTGATACCTGTTGTGAACTAAACATATGTATGAGATAGACCAAATTAGGCGTCATGATGCACCAAAAAAACAGGTTTTTTTTTGAATAATAAGAGAAACGGTGCGAAAAAGGAGATGCAGCGAAAACCTTGTCAAAAGGCTCTACGGATAGGCGAGTGATCAATAATTATCATATGACTCTGTGAACATCCAGCCCACAGTCTCTTTCAAAGACGGAAGCCGCGGCCTGGGTCCACGCGAGCCTTGCATGTGCAGCATATATCCGGGCGAGAGATTTGGCACGATGTTCGACAGAGAAGGATATCTTGATTCCGCAGATAAGATAAAATCTAGACTCATCCTATTCGTTTTTTGCTTTTGTTGTTGTTCCTGAAATTGTAGGCGCCAGCTCTCCTGGTCAAACGTCGCCAACTCTTTGCCCAACTCTACATCGACGTTTCTAGTTTGATAAACTTGAAATTCGGATTGAGGAGATGATAGTAAAGAAGACGAATGTGCGCTAGAGTAGTTGAGATCATCGGTCAAGAAGGGCTCCGAAAGACGAGGGGTCGAATGACGCGACGAGATAGACGTTGGGAACAAAGTTTGACCATTTTTTTCCTCTGTAAGATGAGGATATCCGTGGTTAAATCTCGGACAGTCGTCAGAGCAATGCTCCTGATGATCGTCGCCGAAATGCGCGCCAATCGGTGCAGACGAGGCTGCCTCTTCAGACCCCAAAGAAAATAGTTGTGGGTGTAGTCGACGGCTGCAAGAATCAGAAAATTCAAACTTCAGATCTCGAGCACCAAGCTTCACGAGATTATTGAGTCATGGAGATAGATACCTGATTTTTTCCAGTCGTGATATAAGCTCAAGCGGATTAAACATCGCCGCCATCCCATCTGAACTCGACACGCCCTCGACAGGCGTAGTTGTTGGGCATCTCGGAGGAGGAAGTACGTATTTGTAGACGAATGATGGTGGATCACGAGGATTCATTTCCCAACCAAGTACTTCGCACGTCTCTCGGCGCTTCTTACCTAAAAATCAACAAAATTGAGAGGATCATGATTATTTTTTGGGATGGTCGTTCCGCGAAGAAGTACCAGCTCACAGTGATCGCATGGTCCCCCACTATCGATAAGGCTTCAAAAATGTTCCAAAAATTCACGTTACCCCAATGTACCACGTCTAAAGGATAATAACAAAGGCCTTACCTGCACTTAACATGACGAACCCTACATTGATTACATGATCGGACAGTGTTAAGCTTGAAGTTGGGAATTTTGTATTGTAGTTTGAGAGAGCAGTAGAATCGCCGGTCAGTAATAAGTATGTGTCAAGCTTCGTAGCGATGCATCAAAGCTATCTTCTCAAACACAAAGTGTCTTAAATACCTTTTTCCACCCCAATTTCCGGTCCTTTGCAAATATTGGCCCCTTCCACGCCTTCGGATCTTGCTTTTGCGGTATAAAATATCTGTAGTTTAACCGAAAGCAGATACGTATGATCACGCGAAGGAAGGAGGTGAATGTTAATTTATTTAAGGAACACACTTGCTGCTTCTCCAAAAAAAAAGGTAGCAAAACCTAGCTAAATCAAGAACTGTGATATGCAAAGTTGGACTTACGGGCAAGATCGCCGATGATACATCACAAATCGTCCAACAGACTAGTTTTAAAATGGGTCGAAGTATGGATAAAGACTCGGTATATTTATCTAATGAGGAGACCTCAGTATGCAAAGAATAAAAGGTCGCTATATTTGGCATGCGCTGACTTTATTGGACAAAAAACAGCCAATATGGCTGGGAGTGTTTGCTGAGGAGACAAGCGAGTCACTGCGCTTTGAACTAGTCAGATAATGATGTCAATAATCGAAGAGAAGATATTGTATGTCTCTCCCAGAAAGTCTATGATCAACTCCTGGTGAAAAGTTTAAAATATGCTGGGTGCGTTGAAAGCGGATGGGGTTTCCAGAAATTGTACAAGCGGATGGGGTTTCCGAGGCTTTTTATACCGGGAATTAGGACACGTTCAAGGAGGTATTTGCCGCTCACATATTTTTCGTCAATGGTGCAGCCCCTCTTATTCTTAAGATTCCTCATCCTTGCGAAGGGGGCCAAAAAAATGTGTGAGGATTGGCATAATAATGAGAGTGAGAGTTGAATTGTTCAGTTATTGCAAACTATAAGCAATGGAGATTACTGATAGGATCCCGACCCGCCACTTCATAACGAAAATCTTTTTGAAAATCTCTCTTATTTGCGATACAAGCAGTCGATTTATATACATTACTTTGAGGAATCAAAATTTTAAACCGCAGCCAATACAATGAAATGAGAGGTGAAAAAGTGAGACGCGATTCAAAAGCACGAAGCGGAAGCACCGCCACCCGTGAGCATTGCGCTACCTGAAAATCTCGCTTTATGATCCGGAAGTCTGGTGGATAAGAGACTCATACATAAACATATGGTTTGTGCACACTTTCTTTATCTGTCAAGTAAATTTATCTGCCAACTCTACAAAGTAAATGTGAGGATTTAACGCAATTTCATGCTTCTGCGGTGATATCAGGTATGTTGAAGCCTGAGGTTAATCATTTTCGTTGTTTTATGCTCGAATTTTCAAGAATTGAAGTCTGTGCCTATCTGTGCCTATCTGTGCACCGTTGTGTGCTTCGCAAGCAAGTTGAAAACTCAGGTTATGACTTCCGGAGTATGTCGCTCCGGATCAACCATCAGCTAGACAGATCAGGATGCTCTGGTCGCAACGATGTCCGTCCTTAGATGGTTGCATTGGCAAGCTATGTGCACCAAGTTAAGAAAAGCTTGTCAGCGTCTGCCGATTGGTTGACTTATGTAGAATGGGGCAGGGAGAAAGTTTTAATGAAACTGTCCACTGTTACGCTCTGATGTTTGGAAGGTATATATCGCGGGCTGCCTTAATATGCCCACCAAGCGCAATCTCATCCGCATTCACATCGAGTCACAATCTGCGCGTGTTTAGATGTTAACGTTATCCGTGAATTCAGTCATTAATTGATCGAGGTGACGAAATATATAGTGTGACCGATCGAGGTGACGAATATATAGTATGATAGTATGACCGATCGTGGTGACGTATTCACTATTGATCGAGGTGAGGAATATATAGAGTGATCGGTGGGGATTGAGTCTGATTGAATCCCGCTGTACCGCCTTTCACTTATCGGTCACGTTTCAGAATCAACGTAGATTGCTGAAATCGAACTTGTCCGCC